GTATTTCATGACGTAATTAAGCATTACTTTGGGTTTGTAAGACAAACAAAAATGATGTTTTCTCCACAATAAGACTTGAAGTCTGTTTTCATGCTGTGAGGATGAAATGATCATTTCACACAAAAAAAACATCGGAGGGATGAAAAATGGAGAGCAACACTGCTTTGTTTGACCTCAGGGTGGCATCAGAGGAAAGGCCGCCATCATGGATCATGGTTTATCCTCTGTATGAGGCAACTAAGTTCAAGTGTTCAGCTCTCGACAGAATGCCCTCTTTATTCACCAAACTAGTCTCATCTCAGTTTGTCACAGTTTCAAATATAATATTTAGTATTTGTGCAACATGTTCTGTGTGTGTAAAAGGCCTTCAGTAGTGTTAAAGTGACAAAGTACAACACACAAGGTTAAAAAACAAGCAGGCAGAGTTTGAAACATCTTACATACACTTGTGCGTTCCAAAAACAGATGGGAGCCGTTGCAGTTTTTAAAGTATAGTCATGTCTGCACCACCTTACACATTCAACACACCAGTAGCCCACACATGTAATCCAGCAGAGGATTTAGTAGAAATTCAACCTGCCTCAGTAGCTGCTGATCCAGTTCTCCAATGAAATAATCCAGTCTGTTCTCTAGACATCCATCACTGTGTGCTTTGGATCAGCCAACCACCGAACAGGACAGGAACAGACGACAACAATCAGAAATTGTAAGTCTATAACAAGATCAGACCATACCTCAGCCCTGCTGTGTCAGACACATATCTACACATGCAATCATTCTCTCAACAATTTCCTACTGTCTCCCAATTTAGTCCCTCACAAATGACACCACTGGACTAATAGCAAGACTATACAACAGAGCTTACAAGACCCATGGAAACCTTCCCCCTTGGACTCACCACTGCATTCTCACATTCTAACGACTTGACTTTTCAAAACTACACTAATAATCTAGCCATTAAATTTTACCTTCAGATCCAAAACAATAAGGCAGAAACGCATCACTAGAGCAGTTTCACATCTACTTATTCCTATACTGCCTAACAAAAACAATTATGGTCAGAAATCATTTTTTCACATTAACCTCTATTACACATGTCAAACATGTATATAAACACTACTGATGGAAGGACATACCTGCAACCACTAATTCAAATCTCATATCCCATTTTGCTCACTCCACTTCAGTCCTCTACTCGGCAACGTCTATGTAGCTGCCTATGTTTTGTTTTTTGTTTTGTAGCCTATTATAATGTGGTTTGTGTTGCGTAACAGGGACCAGCTGAACAACAGTTTTTTAATTGAGTCAGGACCGTTTTAACTGTAACACACAATGTTACTTTTAGAGTTGGGTATAACGCGTTACAAAGTAATGAATGTACTCTAACGCTAGAGTACTTTGATTACTTTTTGCAGTAACGAGTAACCTAACGCGTTAGTTTACTGTTTGAGTAATCAAATACTTTACATTTTCAAACAAGACATCAGTTACTTCCGTTACTTTTAGAATGCTGGTCCTTCCGCTCCGAAACAGCAACGGCTGTCGTTTGGTTCTAATAACGGAGATAACGTTAAACCTATCAGTCTGAAAGAAGCCACGGAGCTTGTGGCTCGCTACGTGGTCGGAGAAATGCTGCCGTTGTCTACGGTGGAGTCTAAATAGGTGGAGTAGGACTCGCTGACAGACATATTTCAGACTCAGGACTTGCATTATGCCTGGTACACGCTACACGCTGGTACTCACCAATTATCCCCGGTCGTCTTTCACGGCGTGTGTGATGTCATCGGGTTATTCTTGTCCTATTTTTATTACTTTCACTATTATTTGAGTCACTGTGTCTGTTCATGTGCCAGCCGACATGTTGTTGTAGTCACCTAAAAGCGTCAGCAGATGGCAGGAGCTACATTTGAAGCGCCATACGTAAACTGTCAAGCTACTGTATCTTCCACAGGAAGTTCTGACAAATGTTTCAGAATAAAAGCCTATTTAGAAAATGGAGGGATTCTCTCAGCCGAGGTTATAAGGGGCTTTTAATTTGAAACAAGTGTTGAGTTTGAAATGACGGTGCGATATGTTAACTTTACAAAGACAACGGAGCGGATAAAAAGTAAATATATAAACACACAGAGGGATTAATAAATAACGGACCGTCTATAATGTAGTTTGTTTCAAATGAAGCTGGGAGCCTCTGCAGTTGTGGTGAGTAAAAGCCCCGCCGCTATTTGTTAATGTTATTACTTTATGTCCGACCGTGAGGATGTACCATTGTTTGCTAGCTTGATGCTAATGACAGTAACGTTAACTCAGCGGGTTGACAAAGTGCCTCTGCTGTTTCATACCATCATTTCCCCCTTTTACTCTGTGTGGTAACATCCCTAGAGGAAATATTAAAAACGCTGGGGTGTTGTTGTCATACAGTTGTCTACGGCAGCAGATTGTTCTGTGTTTCTACTGGTCAAAGTGACGGCTGTGATGGGAGAACTGGATCTCAGTGAAGGGCAAGTGGTCCATAACTTTAATTTTGGAGACAAAAACATGTAGGCTTAGCGCCCTGTGGTCCATTGCCCAATAGGAAATGTAGAATACTCAAAAGTACTTTAAAAAGTGCTTGAGTTACTTTTCTCAGGGAGTAATGTTGGAAGTACTTTTAAAGTAATTGAGTTACTTTACTCAGGGAGTAACGCAGTAAAGTAACTGGTTACTTTTTTTTAGAAAGTAACACAGTAACGTACTTTGATTACTTTTAAAGTAACCCTTACCCAACACTGGTTACTTTTAATTCCTTTCCTGTATAAATAAAAGAAATGAAAGGGACAGTCAAGACTGCAGAAAATGTATTAGTGCCAGCCTGACTTCCATACAGGACTAACGCACAGTGGTGTAGTGGTAGGTGATGAGATGGATGTACTCCTAGGTAGATGGGTAGTTTACCAAGAAGGAAGTGGGTATACTCTTCTACCAATGGCTTTTTGGCTGATAGGTTGGTACACTGTAAACAGTCATAAAAAGAAGTGAGTATACCCCGTGTGTACCCTCCACTACACCTCATGAGTCAGGAAATGGGCAGATAACATCACTGCATACCATCACACCCTGGACACAACCTGTTCCACACCACCATGTCACTGGACCATTTTCTGCCTGCATGACGTCACTATGATTAATATTTAACACCAGTGACATAGTGTCAGGAACAATCCCTGAGAAATAACCCTATAAGCATCCACCTTACCAGTAAAATAAATATGTCATAATCTAAACACTCACTGCTCCTTATCATGTTAATATCATCCATCAATATATAAGCATTGCTGTATACACTATGTATGTTTATATGATATGTGTAACAGTTTGTATTGAACTGTTTGGTACATGGCTCTCAGTTCAGTATGCATTAGGCCTACAAATTTGCAATTTGTTGAACTAATGAAGTGAACTTTTATGACATTTGGAAAATATAATATAGATTGTGTGAAACTTTGGGCTCTAGTTTCGCAGACCGGGCGAGGCGGGGGCGCAGCACACCTGCGCTTCCCAACTGGGTGTGGCCAGGCGGATTTTGCAAGTTTGGCACACCGTGCGCGCTGGCACAGCTACTCCTCTTTCCCACCTCCGTCCCTCCTACCTGCGCAAGTTGGAAAGAGGGAGGAGAGAAGGCGTGGAGTGGGTTTTACACACATCACACCAATCAAATGAGCCCCTCTCCTCGCCCTTAAATGCGCTGCGCGAAGGCGTAATGAGAGTTTACTCAATTCGCCATGGCAGAAGAGAGCAGCAGCATCAGACGGCCAAACTTCTCCCAGGAGGAAACGGATGTTTTGGTCCGGGAGGTCCAAGCTGGCAGTGCCCGAATATACGGAACTGCGAGCAGACCTCCACGGGCTGATGATGCAAAGGTAGCCTGGGAGGAGGTCACCACAATTGTAAATCAATGTTGCGTTTCTCTCGTGCGCGCGCTCTCTCTTTCTCTCTCGCAGTCTCACTGTTTCTTTTCTTTTGACTTTTCTAAGATGACAGATGCTGAATATATACTCCCTATCTGATGATGTGGCTGTTTGTGGTTGGCTGAGAAGGATGTGAACTCGTTATTTTGCAGGCTGTGTTAATCAAATCAGGTTGGGTTTCCATTACGCGTACCAAACGTGCCAAACGGTGCCAATCCCCTTTGATCTGACATCAGATGTGACGGGACAGTCGATATAGAGATACATTTATGTGCTGATTGCAGATAGTTGCATTGTATAGTGGTTTTGTGGCTATTTATTGCATCGTTAATGAGCCTGACATTCTGGAAACCTGCCTGTGAGGTTTTGGTGACGTGTGCGCACTGTCCGCCGGTCAGCCAAACTTCGGCTTACGCCGGCTGCGCTCCGCCTGCGCTGACAGTAGACGTGGTTTCAGCTGGCGAGCTGTTAGCGCACCTTCGGCGAAGCCTTTTGGCACGAAGCTGTCACTTCGCCAAGCTGGATCTGTCGACACCTCCCCCTGCTGCGCCGCCACACCCATCTCAGCGCACCTCGGTCTGCCAAACTACCAAACTGAGCACACCTTGGGTTACGCTGCTCGAAACTAGCTCTGCTCGGGGTTCGCCACCCTGCGCCGCGCCGGGAAACTAGAGCCCATGATGTTCTTAGTGCCAGTCAGCAAGGCCCCTGTTAGGGTGCTGGGTCCCCCCCAACTATTTTCTAATACACAACAAAAATGAACTGATTCACAGTGGGAATAATTTTGGTACTGCTCATATACATAAGGTTCCAGAATGCATAAAAGAAGTATCAAAATGGAGCTTGTTTATTAACAAAGTGCTGGTGGAGGATCCCCTGGACCCCTGGACGGAGGTCCAAGACTCATCCCCTAATGTCCTCAAATCCTAGAAATGCCCCTGCCATGCACGGGGGTGCTGCTACTGGCCCCTGGCTTTCTGTCATTTTGCAGAAGTGCAAAGATCAAACAGGTTTTATTACGTCATCGAGCCGTCTTCAGGGCTCAGTGTTGAGCTTCTCACTGAGACGTCATCAGTCAGACAGAGATGAGTTCCGTGCAGCAGGTGAACCCCACGGTGCGGGGGATCAGAGCCCCAACGAGCCTGCAGAGTCTGGCTGCACATATCACAGAGGAGATCACACAGGTGAGTCACAGGTGTGATACACCTGAACCAATCTGAGCAACATGTTTTAGTTCACTGCTGTAAGAAGGAGAAGAGAGAACAATCTGACCGCAGATTTGAATTGGTAGTTTTTATAGTAGAAAGTGAACTTTCAGGACAAAAGTTCTATAAGCTGTGTGTCTGAAGCTTTGAGGGTTTTAAAGGTTTTTATTTATTTATTTATTTTTTTTAAGAAATGTATTTAACAATATGAGAAGATTACCGGCAACAATGTTACTTTAGTTAAAAGTAACAATTCTGCAACGTAAAATAAATAAATAAATAAATAAAAATAATAATAAAAACTCTGTTAGCCTATCAGTGTTATGTCATTACTGTATTATTGGACTTTTGTTACTTATGCATCAACATGCCTGCAGCATTTTTGATATTACAGCTTCTGGAGGTTGAGTGAGTGAGTAGTGGTCAAAGGTTTAACCTCTTTATGCTGGGTGGTTTAATTTGTAACAGTGCATCCCATTTTATAACCTGATCACATGTTTAGTATGAAATGTAACTTGTATATATAGTTACTGGGCAAATGTAATGGAGTAAAACAGTGCACAATTTTCCCCTTGCAGCTGTAGCAAGGTAAAATATAAAGTAGCAGAAAATAGAAATATTCAGGTAAAGCACAAATATGAAGGCCTGACTGAGTAGCAGAAATAATAGTAGTAGAATTCCTGGCCTGGCCAGGTGATTGGTAGAAAATGTCAATATGTAGCCATGGTTCATAAAAACAAAATAAAGAGTTGGCCATGTTCCAACTATAGGGTAACTGCAAGGTGATACTTCTACTTTTTTACTAAACGCAAATAATGAATGGCAGCCTTTCTTCTTTCACTCAATTAAATATGATTAATGTCTAGGTTTCTGATAGTCAACATGCTGCAGCCTGTTATGTTAGGGAGCATTCTGTAGCCACCACAAGCTGCTGTCGTTACCATGAAAGTCTTGTCCTCAGCTTCCCCCTAACAATGCAACCACAAAATATATAAAAAGAAAAATGCACAAGTAAAATGGGAATGATAAGTATGCACTCAATGGCTACATACTTTACATATTTTCATGCTAAAAGACCTAAAAGAAAGCCAAACAGGTGCTGGGTAAAAAGTTCTCACCAGTTGATGACATGTAGAAGCCTAAAGATAAACTTTGTTCTTATTGCAGGGCAGCTAGTTAGCTAGACTAATATTGTGCAGTACAGAAAACAAGCAAGATGTTTTTTCTTCCTAACATGAACCTGTTAGATGTTTCTCATATACTTGGACAATCAAAAAAAGGTTAGATTTATGTTTAAATATTTGGATTTTCAGAGATGAGCATGGAAGTAAAGAAAAAAAGTACAGTACAAAAGTACTTATATATAAATGGAAGTCGGAAACGGAAATTCGCCTCCTTCGCCCAAATCAAACCTGAATGCCAAAAAATCGGGGGTCTGCCCCAGAGGCTGTATTGCCGTCTGCCGAAAGTCAGATGCCGAATTCAGCCGATGGGTTCCGAGAATGCCCCACAGCACATCCAACAAAGAATTACCAAAGCTGTCCACTAGGTGTGTTGTGTGGTGCCTCATTTCCGCAGTTTCTTAGTCCATGCTGTTAGCTACCTTGTGGCTCCACCTCTTAATCCAGCTGTGTGAAATGCACCTTCTTTGGTCAAAAGTAGGACAAAAATCCATCCTGTCATATCACCTGGTCCTGCACCGCAAAGAAAAGTCCCATGCATGGATGATCCACATCTGACTGAAGACCCTTGGATCCTGCAATGTCAGGGTTGACAAATACAACCAACCTGAGCTAATGTCTAATTCACACTGTTTGTTATAGGGAGTGAACAAACCCTTCCAGCAGGTGATTGATGTCAGTTCAGGGGATCCCCACAGGGCAGGGATGGCACCTACTTCATTTGTTCGCCAGGTTGGTGCTTTATAATTCATCTGTGTGTGTGTGTGTGTGTGTGTGTGCCAGCAACAAACCTACCTGTTTGTTTTTTTAGGTCATGGCAGTGTGTCTTTACCCTGAGCTCCTCAAAGACAACAGTCTTCCTCTGGATGTCAGGCAGAAGGCACACATGTTTCTAGGGGCCTGCTGTGGAGGGAGTGTTGGTGAGAATGATTAATATTCATTTGTACAGATTTGAAAACATTTGGCCCAAAATGGTTCACAGAATTTCTCTGACTCTGCTCTGATGGCTGATCAATTCAATTTATCAATGACAGGTTCGTACTCTGTAACCACCCTTGGTATTCCATGTGTCCAGAAAAGCATTGCTGAGTTCATCACGAGGCGCGATGGTGGAGTGATTTCAAACCCAGAAGATATCATTATCTCTTGTGGTTCTCAGACGTGTTTGTCGGTAAGATGAAAACAACTTTTTTTTTTTCCAAAAATGATCAGTAGATTTTTAGCTGTAAGAGTATTATTTAGGGACACAACATGCTTTTCTGCATGTCCATTATGAATAAACATCCATTAACCAGCGTAGGAACTAAGTCTAAAGTCACACCCATGTTAGCATGCCAACATGCTTACAATGAAAATGCAAACATGCTGATGTTTACAATGTTGACCATCATACTTAAGTGTGTGAGCGTGTTACAGTGTCATACTACATTACAGCAGTAGCTGCAATCCATACAGTCTGTTGTGATGTTGAGTGCGGTGTCATCCAACGATGTCATCAAACATTTGAAAGTATGACTATGCTACACCCCTGTGGCTTTTGGTGGCATTTCATTCAACTGAATGTTCCCATTCACTTGAGGGGTATTGACTGAAGCATAAATAAAAGGTATCGAATGACGAACTCAACTGGTTCAGCATCACTGTGCTGGTATTGGCACCGTCGCTGTAATTGTTAAACGATACCCAACCCGAGTTATCATACTCTGCTATTTAAGAATTGTATACAGGTTGACAGCGCCAGATCCATTTAAACAGCATGGACACAGCAAGGATAAATGAAAGATGCTGAACATTTTTCCTCAATGCCAATAGTACTTTAATGAGCAATAAAAACATACATTTGGCATGTTCTGAATTGTATGGCTCTTTATTGTGTTAAGATGATTTTGCACCTGATGGCCAGTGGCGAGGGGGACACTCAGACAGGTGTGTTGATCCCGATGCCTTGCCCACACACCCTACCATCCCTGCTGGATATGTCTGGAGTGACACTGGTGCCGTACCAGCTGATGGAGGACCAAGGATGGGCTGTAGATCTACATGAACTGCAACGAGCTTTAAGGAAGGCGAAGGGGCGCTGTGAACCCAGAGCCATTTACACCAGCAACCCAGGAAACCCCACAGGTAAACAACACACATGAGCTACTTTCAATAATGTCTGATACTCACTATTATTTGCCCTTCTACGTCATTTACAAGACAGGAAAACAATAGAGGAAGTGATTCGTTTTGCTGCAACCGAGGGCCTTATCCTGTTGGCTGAAGAGGTGATTACAAGCTCCACAAGGAAACTGAAATCTAAAAGTTGTCCTCATCAGTTTTCATTCTCACACAAGCTCCCTTTTTTCATGTCTTCTTGAACCTTCTAGGTGTACCAGGACTGCGTGTATGGACAGGGGCAAGAGTTTATTTCCTATAAGAGAGTCCTGTTTGAGATGGGAAAAGAGTACTCAGAGACAGTGGAGTTGGTCTCCTTCCACTGTTTATCCAGTGCCTGCATGGGAGAGTGAGTATTTTTGATGTTTCCTTTAGAACAAACCTTTCCTCAGCTAATTGTGTGACCCCTTGAAAGATGATATTTTCTTACTTTTTAATTTATCATAATGTCAGAAAATGATTAACACAGCATTGACATTGCTGTGTTCTTGTTTTATTAATGGTCAGTTACTAGATTTCTTCATCATGTTAGGAGCAACAAATTACCAAAGGCTTCATTGTATAAATATCAGGTTTGGTTATAACTCATGAGCTCTCTGAAACCACGTACAACAGTGGGTCATTCAAGTGGACTCCTTCACAAGACAAACATGACCCCACTTAAAGCCACCATGGTCCATTGTTAGGACAAAGTCGGAAGATTTTTAATGTATTTTACAGCAGCAGGTTTCATTTTCACAGGTGTGCTTGTGATCTTACAGATGTCTAGACATATCAAACAAAATGATTGTGCTTGACTATAGACATCTGTCCTTATATTTGTGACACTCTGGTGTGTCAGGGTCACTGATGGGTCAAATATCTGATATACTTTGCTCAAAAGTTGTCATTATCAAAGTGTTTTCAGACTGAATGGGAATTAAATATCAGAGGTGGCGTATTTGCATTCAAAGCTAATACAAACATGAGTGGGTATGAACAGACAGATTTGCTCGAGGTGAGTGAAGAACCAATCAAAAATTGGCAGGTTTACAAAGCTGTGTAACTCCAGTTTATGAGTGTGCAGAGTTGAGATGAAAAGGGAGAGAATAAGAACGAAAATCACAAACCTTGTCTCTAAAAATGACATTTATATACCTCAAATTTGCAACAGCAAATGTTGACAGATTATGATGCTCAGGAAAGAATTTAAATGAACATTTGTTTGTTTCCCATGTAGGGCTAATACATATTCTCTTGTGTCAGTTTAGGCACGGTTAATGATTATATGGTTATGTTTAGCCAGCTTTATGGGAAGAGAGAAGTCTGGGTTATATATTAATAAAGTCAACATGACCTTAGACAGTTTTTTCTTTTAAAATATTTAACCAAATGACAGTCTTGTCCTGTTATAAGATAAGATTAGATTTAGATGTACTTTCTCAGATGGATATTTGTTTTTACAACCATACCAAGCCTGGTCGAAGTCCCAACATCCACCCAAACCAACATGTCACTAGTGTATTATATAAACATATTGTGAGAAGACAAACTCTATCTTTTATCCAACAAGTCTTCCAATCATACAACCACGTAAGTGTTGTGTTTGTTCCTACCCTCTATATGACCCACAGTGTTATAGCTAAATGGCAGAATAGGTTTCACATGACTGTTAGTGGTTGCTGTTTTAAACAAGGGTTAACGTTGTGAAACAGTCACAGTTACACCAAAAATATTTTGTCACATTAAAGCAACAAGACTGCTTGGCTATAGGTTTAGAAAAAAGATCATAGTTTGGGTTAATATGTTTGTTTGTTACTAAGCAACGTGACGTATGAAACCTTTGTCTTGATTATAGCAGAAAATGATTTAATGGGGTTATGATCCAACGTCAAATAACCTTATGTTAGTGGAATAAATAAGATGAATCAATCATTCAGTCAGCATTGTGCTGCATTCACATGGACTCAGGCAGACAGTAGACAGCAGACAGACAGCACCCTCTGGACAGCACAATAAAAAATGAGCATTACAGAAGGAGGGCAAAATGAAACATGTAGGATGAACAACAATAAGTTAATATAGCTGTGTGCTGGGTGCCCCCTACCTCACTTGGTACAGTGAGGTAGGGGGCATGTACAAAGGTTGTGCCCTTGCCACAGCAGCCGCGGGTTTGATTCCAACCCATGGCCCTTTGCTGCATGTCAAAGTAATTCAATTACTTTTGAGAGAGGTAACTAGTAATTGTAACTTATTACTAATTTTCAGTAACTTGCACAGCACTGGAACTATGTGGTGGTATTTTGTAGGACAGTCACGTTTCTCTCAGGTGACTGTAGACTCATTGTGCTGTGTGCTCACCTTGTCTTTAGGTGTGGTCTGAGAGGAGGATATATGGAGGTATTTAACATGGACCCAGCAGTCAATATGTATTTAAAAAAAGTGCCGGTCAGCCCTCCAGTTTTATCACAGCTTGCTTTGGAGGTCATGGTCAACCCGCCCACAGCTGAAGATCCTTCCTATAAAACATACTCACAGGTGAGGGTTTCATCCAAAATGATTTCTGGCGCAGTCTCCTAAAAAATACTGCTTAAAATTATAAACATACACATACATGTAAATGCACCATATTAATAACCATATTTCTACTATATTGTCAGCCAAGAAGGAAACATACTCACTCCTGTATGTCTGTTAATTAGTCAGCAGGACATTTAGAAAAATGAAAGTGGTAAATAGATTTTATTAATATACTATTATTTTGATCAATTCATTATTTAGATTGATTTATTTTTAGTTATATCATTTATGATAATTACTGTGTATTTTGATGAATTTCCAGATTAAAAGTAGCTTACCATTTTCTATTTTTAATGTTTTAAACTAATTGAGACAATAAATGCAGCCTTTGCAGATGTCTGTTCCACAAAGAAGTTGTAAAATATTTTTTATCCATTATGTTGTCATGTTCAGTAAATTTGTTCCTGCAGTTTTCTACACATGCTTATAAAAGACAATATATTCCACCATGGGCTGTGAAACAGTTTATAAACGCTATTTTACAAGCTCGGCAGTAACTGTGGCAAGAGGGATTTTACTTTTGGGTTGTCTGTCCATCCATCTGTCCCTGTGTCTAAACTTGGTAGATATGTAGAACAGGACGCCTCAAGGTGACTGGAGAAATTTAACTCTAATTGGCAACTGGGTGGCGCTACAACAACAGAAAAATGCTTAAAAATGGCTAAAATGCAGCCGATCGCTGTGGCTCCCCCTGTGGCCGAATGCTTTTTTTTTTTCTCATTTTTGGTATGACTAAGTCATGGTATGGTATGCTGTACATAATCACGGAAACTGTCAGTGTGTCATTCTGTCAGTCAGTCATTCTGTCTGTCCCACGTTTTTCTACTCACTGACGTGGTCAATCTATGTGAAACTGTACATAGGCATTGAGGATTGGCATAGGTAGAAGGTGACAAAGCTACCAATGGGTATGGACTAGTAACATAAGTAACTTTGTTATTTTTTAACCAATCATTGAAGCTGTCAGACATTAAAACTGCTTTCACTGATTTCTTTGCCCCTGTAGGGCGTTGTAAAAAGCAGTAAATACAATATCTGTCATATCATCTCTTTAAAGTTGATATCAGGAAAGTGATAGCAAACAGGTGCATATTGCTACATCCAGCATTTATATGGAGATGTATTCCTGCACACCCAACAAATCTAACCTCAATTTTCATTCAGCTTTTAGCTCTGTTTAGTTTGAACCAACTCCAGGGGAAAAAAATCTGGCTTTAGCTGCTAGATGCTCCAAAATGTTCACCAGTTAATCACTAACCATGTCTGCCAGCCATTTGGTTCTGAACAGGTAGTGTAGTGTTACAAATGAAAACAGAGTTGATGAAACTGTAAATTTGCAGGGCTAAAAACATAAACAATAAGCTGAAATGTGCTAAGACATTTTATACTGTAGCTCTGTGAGGAACTGCTGCGTCAGGTGATAATTCTCTGTTGCTCCATCACTATGAGTGACTCCTTTCACATTACACAGTCATTTTTCAGCTGTTAAAAATATTAATAAATGCAGCTTTAATTTACTGTCAGAGGAGTTTTAAGGGGCAGTCCAGGTCTTCAGCGTGTGTGCTTGCACAACTGTAAACTAGTTTTTGTCTTTTTTTCTCAATTATAGGAGATTCTTCACTCTCAGACAACTCTGTCCCAGAATGCTCAGCGTGCTTTTAAGTTCCTGAATGATCTACCAGGGATGAACTGCCAACCAGCGATGGGGGGAGTCTTTCTTTATCCCTGTCTGCATCTACCACCTCAGATGATAGAGGAGGCCGAGGTGAGAAACCATCTCCACTGGGCCTTAAGTATTCAAGTTTTACTACAGTTTGTGGCTGTAGTGCTTTTGATTTAAGTCATGACTTATTTCTGAAGCTGTAATCAATTTGTTTACATCAATAATGTAAAAACAGTTATTCAGATATGTACACCAACTCACAAAATATAAATGATTTGTGAATATATGCGTCATTTATAAGGTCAACAAAATACTGATTGTAATGTTTTCTGATACTAGAAAAGAAGTCAAACAGGCAGATCTCTTTCATTTTTATTTCTGAAGTCAAAGGTATCACTGCTGATAAGAAACATAATTCAATAATGATTCCCACTGTGCATAAAATCTCATACTCTGCATGGAAAAGCTATAATTCCAGCAGTAATTTAAATGGTGTGCTGTTATTAATTTCAGATGTTGGGAGTGGAGGCAGATGTGCTTTACTGTCAGAGGTTACTGGAGGAGGAAGGTGTGTGTTTTGGAGCCGGCTGTGAGAACGGACAAGAAGGTCAAAACTACCACATCAGGTAAGACAGACAGCTGCATGTTTTAGACCTTTGGAGTGAGGACATTTTTGGTAAGAGGACACTTTTAAATGAGAGGACACTCTTGGAAAGAGAGGACATTTCCAGAATGTGAGAGCATTATTGAAACAGGAGGACAACAGTTTGATAAATTCAAGACAAGCTCTTATAATACCTGTTGAGCACTAATCATTCCATCACAGAGTGAGCCAGGTCAGGTTATTCCTGCTTTAAGCACAGGTGTGTCCATATATGCAGACTGTTTCCTGTTTTTTGTGTTATTTTTCCCTCACAGGCTGTGTGTTCTGGCTCCTCCTGCCACCCTGGAGGAGGTCTTGGCACGACTTCGCTCTTTCCACCTGCACCTGCTGGACAGATTTCCCTGACAGAGGTGTCAAGGACACACTTTGGAGACAAATATCAAGCCATGGTTCATAGGATTTTCTCCCACCAAAAGTAATGCATTATTTTTCTTTTAACTGCATTTTTTTAATGAGCATTGTCAATAAAAGAAATAACTTATTTCCTGACCCTGCAAAGACTTAAATATACTACAGCCATCCTCACCTCAGTAAATAACAAAGCCAAACTACAGGCACAACGGATGCAGTTAATGAAGGTTCTTTGAATTATAAATGAGGTTTGATTTTATTTTATTCACTTCATGTCTTGCATCCTGAGACATATATTGTTTCACATAAATGGTAAATGGACTTGCACTTGCATAGTGCCTTTCTAGTCTTCGAACCAGTCAAAGCACTTTAACACTATACATCACATTCACCCATTCACACACACACTGCATACACTGGTGGCTGAGGCTGCCATGCAAGGTGCCACCTGCTACTCAGTTACAGTAAACATTCATATGCATTCACACACCGACAACACTGCCAGTAACTTGCCCAAGCATACTTCAACATGCGGATGAAACAGGGATCGAACTGTTGATCTTCCGATTACTGGATGACTGCTGTGTTCTATTTACCAAACAACAAAACAAATACTACAGACACATATTACACATCAGACATGGCTAGAGGTAGAAGAATTATTCAGTGCTAAAATCACAGTATGAAAATACTCTGAAAGTCCTGTATTCAAAGCCTTACTTTTGTAAAAGTAGTCACAGTGCAGTAAAATGTTCCCTGTCAGTATTTTACTATTATACGTGACGTTTCTGCATTAATTGCTACTTAATTACTGCTGCATTAACATGTACGTTGCATTTTATTGCTGTACATGTACACTCTGTGTGTTAGAGTGTAAATGTATTATTGTACCTCACTGCAGATATAATCTATATGTGCACCACAAGATAAAGCAGCAGCCACATGGATGTCTAAATATTCATTTTGGGCGACATGGTCAATTTGTTTGTTATGAACAGTAACGTGTGGAGGATACATGTTCACTGGAAAAATCAAAATGATTGATTTGATTGATAACAAGTGAATTCTTTCCACATCACAATCTATTCACACAGTACCAATGGATACTATATATGATTAGTATAAATATATTTGGAATATCATACACAACTCTATGCATCATTTACAGTTTAGATTTCTAAGTTGGTAAAAGATAAAGCACTTTATGATCTCAGTTAGCAACCGGTGGTCCTTAAGTATAGAAGGAAGTGTAAATGGAGGGCAGTAAAGTAAGAGAACATGAAAAAGCAAACCCATTTGGGGAGCAGTGTGAGAAAAAAAAAGATGAAGAGTAAAACACTTGATTTCACAGAGGGAGTCTGGTGCTGAAGAATATAACCAAAATCCGAACAGTACCTTGTCCACTTTTTGATAACTGGCCTCAGGTGTTTTTTGTGGAAACTTGTATGTAATTATAATAATAAAAAATAAAATCACATATAATTTGAAGAGTGTCATGTTTGGGCAGTTCTGCACTGTGGATTCTTTTTTTCTTTGGGTCCAAGCACCAAATGCTCCATGATATTATAGCAATGTGTTAGTTTAGTGATCACTATGGGATATTTATTTTACACTCCCACCCCCTTGAAGTATCCTATAATATAAATTACCCCTACAAGTCTTTTGGACTCAAATTATTGTTATAATTCTGTACATCTGTGCTGGTTTGCTCTGGCTCTGCAGGGGTTATGTAAGGACAGGTGAAACAGATGCAGCAGGGACCACAGATTCCCAGGTCAAAGAGTGGACTCTGTGTTTGTGTCTGATTACTGTTCATTTCTGAGAGTATAAAAGCCGTATGCCATATATGCACTCAGACAATCGTCCCAGAGGAATCATGATGAAAGCGGCCCTTGTCCTGCTGTTTGCTGCCTATGGTGAGTCTGATCCACCTGCTGTAAAGAGGGGCACCTCTACCTACATCAGGGTTAGAGTTACAGGATTAGTCTGCAGTCATTTTGTATTTTTGTCATTATCAGCATATCCTTTGTATGTGTTTGTCCATCTCTCAGTATTTTCTGACTTCCCACACTCAGCCCAAAGCCCACTGTACTATTAGCAAATGTAACTCCAACAGGAGGAAATAGTGCATTTGTTGGGGAATGTTTTCAGCAGTGGATTCATCCAGTGAGTGTTTTAGGCAACAGTGTTTGTAGGATATAGTCAAAATAAGCCCCAATGTGTGAATTCACTCCACCACACATTACAGGAGGATATGGTCACAAAGAGTTCCCAATACAAACCAAGGGTGCAAAATCTAAGTGTTATTTTTTCACGCTTTATCTGGCAGTGAGTTGAATCTTTTGAAAGTTTGCATAGGAAAAGCAGGAAAGGAGCTGAACTGTGTCAGCCTTTGTAACCTCCAGTTCACTCTCTGGTCCAGCTCATGGGTGTGGCAACCCCACCTACCCACCCACTGTGAGTCGTGTTGTGAATGGGGAAGATGCTCGACCCTACAGCTGGCCCTGGCAGGTGAGTTAATTATGATCAGTGTTTGGCAATATAACAGATATGGCCTACAGACCTGCCAACTGCTACACATTTTACTGTATCACATCTCTTAAAGTGGCAACCTCTTAAAAAAATAAAAATATGTCTGCTTTAGGGCGGCACGGTGGTTTGGTGGTTAGCACTGTCACCTCACAGCAAGAGGGTTTCTGGTTCGATCCCAGGTGTGGGAGCCCTTCTGTGCGGAGTTTGCATATTCTCCCCGTGTCAGCGTGGGTTCTCTCCGGGCACTCCGGCTTCCTCCCACAGTCCAAAGACATGCAGATTGGGGACTAGGTTAATTCATAACTCTAAATTGTCCGTAGGTGTGAATGTGAGTGTGAATGGTTGTTTCTCTCTATGTGTCAGCCCTGCAATAGTCTGGTGACCTGTCCAGGGTGTACCCTGCCTCTCGCCCAATGTCAGCTGGGATAGGCTCCAGACCCCCGCGACCCTCAAGAGGATGAAGCCGTTAGAAGATGGATGTCTGCTTTATTTGTTGATTTGTTGCCAATGTTGCAGATAAGTGAGCTGGTCTGCTACATAGATGCTAATACAGTATTATTCTTCAGCAATGGATATTAACAGTTGCAAAGAAATAACAGATAAAATGAACACACCAAGTGACAACACACATAGACACACACATAAAGTACATACACATTCATATCTCTCACCTCTAATATTAGAAGACATTATTAAAACACTTGCTTATTTTGTAACCTGAATGCTCAATATAACTTGGTAATTTAGACATTTGATTTCAAACTCCAAAGACTGACCTCTCAGGGACACCAGGGTTGAGACTGTAATCAAAAGTGTTCAAGCCCAACTCTATTTATTAACTACAATGGTTTATTACATTGGTGGAATACATTTTCAGATCATTTACTTAAGTAAAAGTACCCATACTACAATGTAAAAATTCTCCATTACAAGTAAAAGTCCCTTATGCAAAATCTTACGTAACCCCCATTTTTGTCATTTCTCACAGGTGCTTTATTCTATCATTCAGAATTTTTAGGACTTCGTCAATAAATTTGTTCACAATGAATTCATATCATTGTTCCTGTTTTTGTTCCTGTTTTAATTACTGATTACTAATGTACCACTGTATTGGGGTCCTGGGGGACTCCAGTCAAAGCATCCAATTATGTCTATGCAGTTTTAATAGAGGAAACTATTTAATATGTTCATGTTTGCCATGGGAAAATTGTCTGAGACTCTATGGCACAGCCTGCAGGACAGAGAACACCTTTGTTTTAATGTGTAATGATACATCTGAATGACGTGGAGTTCCCCAAGGCTCCAGTATTGGGTTTCTTCTATTCAACTGTGATTAGATGTGCCAAAATTTCCGCCCGTTAAACAAATAGCCTATAAAAGTTTTACCATATAGATATAACACAACTCAGCTTAACTTAAAATTTCTGAAAACTAAAATATACTAGAATCAAAGAATCATAAATAACCTATTAAAGAAAAGTAAATGTTTCGGTTTTACACAGTATGCAAATTAACTAATTTACTAAAATAATAATTATGTTTAAGGGTTTTTTTCAGATGAAATTAATTACATAACTAATAATGTTTTAAGAAGAAATAATGACACAATAGTAACGCTATGGTGGTTGTTTCTTAAAGTAGTATGTTGGTAGGATGAGGGTCAAGCACAAAAACAAAACAAAAAAGACAACAGCCACAAGGGGGCCTTGACTGCAATGTTGTATACCACTGATCTAAACTGGCCAACTTTAAAGTAGTTAAGGCTCCACCCTGAGCAGTAATATGCTGCTTACTCACTGATGCATCAGTATTAAAATACATCAGTCACAGGGATGAGAGTGGTACTTACCTTTAGTTTGCTATAATACTTATTTTACGTAACCCTCATCCTACCAACATATTTAATATGCAAGGACTACCAACTGGGGTCCCTGGTGATCCAAAGAATAAACTACTCTAAGAGAAAATTACCATGGCAAAGTGTTAATTTTGATTAACTATTTTGATAAAGACATTTTTTGTGTAAAATCCTAATCTGAAAATCTCCTTGTGACTGCTCTGTCAAATAAATGTAGTGTAACCAAAGGTACGTTACCCTCTGAGCTGTACTGGGATATAGTATAAGCATGAATTGTAAATATTCAAGTAAAGTATCTCCAAATTGGACTTAGTTACTTTCCAGCACTTGTTACTTATTATAGTGATGCATCACTCTATGCTGCTCTCTTCTCAGATCAGTTTGCAGTATCTCAGCGGCTCCACATACCGTCACACCTGTGGAGGCACTCTGCTCGCTGCCAACTGGGTCCTGACTGCTGGTCACTGCATCGGGTGGGTCACAGTTTACTGTCATTCTCTGTGTTGTTTTATCTCATGATATGAAATAAAGGTTTAATCTAAAGTGTGTATATATGTATATACTGTTTATGTATCTATGTGTTAGACCTCGTACCTACCGTGTGGTGCTTGCTGAGTACGACCTGACCAAAGAGGAGGGCTATGAGCAGTATAGAAGTGTGGAGAAGATCGTGGTTCACCCTCGCTGGGATCCAAGCTGCCTGTCTTGTGGGTAAGTGAATATAACGTCTTCACACAGCTGTTCTCAGATTATGTTTCAAATTGAAAAAAGAGCTGCTACTGAGCAGTTAATGTAAGTGATTCTTTTTTCCTCTTAAAAAGATAACCTTAGTTGTGTTTTGGTGGAAATGTTTTCAAGTTTCTGTTTATATTTATTATGACACATAAGAGTTTTCTGTCCATGAGATGTGTGTCTGTGTTTCAACATGATTTTCATGTTGTTCAGTAATGACATTGCGATGATCAAACTGGCCTCACCGGCGACTCTGAACGACAAAGTGCAGCCCTCCTGTGTGCCAGAGAGCGGAGAGACCACTCCTCACAACTACCCCTGCTACATCACCGGCTGGGGAAGAATCTACAGTGAGTGTTTGTAATGTGACAACACACTGATCCTAATCTATGATACTGTGTTTTACTATAATCTTATTCTGGATTTAATTAGAAATAAAATATGACAAATTTGGGACCACATTTAAGACCATGTCGACATATTATTTAGTTAAAAAAAACTTGCCACTTACAAGCAAACAACATACAGAAGAAATGAATTATTATTATCATTATTATTATTTCCCATAACTTCTTACATTCAAATAAAGCACACTTGTCTCCAAAGCAGTTCTCATTACAAAGGTTACAATTAATCATTTTATTGCCCAGGCTCCTTCCTGTTGGAGTATGGATCATATTTATTATATTATTCAGGAATCATATTGTGCGGTGTCGTAGGACACTTTAAAGGACTAGTTTGACATTATGGAAAATATGCTTATTTGAGTTAGATGTGAAAATCCAAAAGTAATAAATTACAGTCATAAGAACAATAAAAGGCTTGATGACATCTGGAGGATATTAAGTTGAAGGTTGGAAAAAAAGCAGTCCTATTCCAGGTTTTATCATGTGTGTCACCACCTGACAATGATCTGGGTTTTTTATTATTTCTTGCAGGTGGTGGTCCAATCGCCACTAAGCTCCAGCAGGCTCTCCTCCCTGTGGTGGGCCACGAGGTCTGCAGCAGCAGCGGCTGGTGGGGGAGCACCGTGAAACCCACCATGATCTGTGGTGGTGGTGACATCCGCTCTGGCTGCCATGTATACACCTCTCCCTCCATCACAATATGTTCATTGCTATAGTGTATCAGTGTGTTGCCTTCACTTGACTTCTGTCTGTCTGTGCAGGGGGATTCAGGAGGTCCTCTGAACTGCAAGGGTAGTGATGGCAGGTGGGATGTGCAGGGGGTGACCAGCTTCGTCTCCTCTCTAGGATGCAACACCCACATGAAACCCACAGTGTTCACTCGCACCTCCTCCTTCACCAAGTGGATCAGTGACGTGAGTTTCTTTCAGAGTAAAAGCATAGTTGCATGTTGCACAGTCACAACATCTTTACTTAATCAGCACTCAATCAGTGGTTTTAGTGCATAAACATAACCACAAATTAACCACAGCATGTAAAAGTCACATATCCATTCAGGTATTCATGAATGTTTGCAGCCTCTAAGTTTCTTGAACACCTGTCTCAGAAGAGACAAAGTAAGCAATGACAGCCTGTGGAAAAGAACAAAGCAGGATCCCACTGACTCACAAATTCTAAAGAGAATGAGGAGTTGGATAGGACACACCCTCAGTAAACCTGCCACAAACATCACCCAGCAAGCCCTGAAATGGAACCCACAAGGAACTAGGAAAAGAACAGCTAGAGAAGAGGTGTCCAGACAGATATGTCTAGGAGTGGGCTCAGCTAGGGAGATCTGTAGTGAACCGCCAACAACAGAGTGAAATGGAAGACATTTTCCAATGGCCTATGCCAGTGGTTCCCAACTGGTGGGTCACATTCCAAAAGTGGGTCGCAGATCCATTCTTAATGAACTGCAGTTGACTTGCAAACACGTATAGTTTGTAAAAAAAAATAAATCAATCTTTATTTTTAAGTACTGTAAGTGAATTTCCGGCACAGAGCTGCATTTTTTTAAGTGTTGTTTCCTGCTGTAGAGTGAGTCACTAATTGATGGCTACTTGACAGGGACATCAATGTAGTTTGACAACATAGCCAAACGCAATGAATGTACTGAGGCTGGACTAGTTGGGAACGACTGGTCTAACAGACAGACAGACAGACAGACAGACAAGACAGACAGACAGACAGACAGACAAGACAGACAGACAGACAGACAGACAGACAGACAAGACAGACAGAGTCATGGTTTGCTGAAATGTACAATGCCAACATTTATTCCAGCAACTGGGTCAGCACAACCCTCCAGAACAGCCTCAGTGCTCCTTGACACAAATGTTTCAAGTTACTGGAGCTCTACTGGAGAGATGAGCAATGCTCCGCTTTAATATATTCCCTCATTTTGATGATGCTGGTTGAGAGTGTTGTCTAATGTGTGAGTCAATGGTCTGTATCAAACTGCTAAAAGTAAGATTTTGGGCTAAGGTATACGATTAAAATAAAAATCCTTCACCTTTACTCACCTTACCACAAACTTCCAAAGAAATTCATTTTTAAAAATTTCTTATTAATTTAAAAAAAATTGTTAGCATTCGTGAGCTCCAGAGGTGTCTCAAATTGTAGATCCTAGATGACAAAACAGAGGTGAGCACACATCAGTATAGTGTTGTGCAAAACATCACTGCTAAGTTAACTGATGTATATGTAGTTATGTAGTATGTGTAGTTAGTATAGTTTTATCAATTAATCTTCTCAATTAATCAAATATAATTTATAAACCACATTTAAAAACTTGTAAAATGTTGATCAGAAAAAAGAATCAAATAAACTGCAATGATCAACAATAAAATGATGACAAAACAAAAGAGTAAAATAAAAAATAATGATAATAATAGAATGAGTGTTTATGATAAAATGACAGAATTATAAAACACCAGATTAAAGCCAGACTAAATAGATGGGCTTTTAGCCTACATATGAAAATTTCAATATCCTTTGCACTGAGTAGGAATTTTATCTACTGCCAAGGTGCATGGAGAGGGAAAAAGTCTGAAGAGGCAACATTTGTTCTTCAAAGTTGTTCTTTATACTGTTGCTGGAGTTTTGGGGGGACTTGGACTCCTGACCTAATGTTACCTCAAAGTGAAGCTATAATCTAATATTTGGCAAAAAGAATGTAAAGCTACAAACTGTGCAGTACCTCAGAGGGAAAGAGCAGTCTCCTCATGTGGCCTGCATCTGTTCATTTGCTCATGTTATGAGGCATGTCTGTATTTCTTACTTTCTTTTTTTTCCTCTTTCATCTTTCAGACGATGCTGCGGCACTGAGGACCTGGAGGCTTTTTAATGTCAATAAATCTATTTGACATCCAGTTGTCTCTGTTCTTTGAATCAAATTTGTACCACAATTCCATAGGCATAGATTAATTTTAAGCAGGTTTTGCATATGTGTGTTCACACTGGAAGTGGAAAATATAAAAGCATACCTGTAACAGTATTCAGACCAATAAATGCATGTTTTTTAAGCACACTGATGAGGGACAGTACTCTCCCAAAATGCAATGCACAGATTGAAAATACATTTTTTTCCTGCTGTGAACAGAAAAAAATAGAATATAATGAATCATGGATCAGCTCTGAGAAGTACCAAGAGAACAAAAAAACAATACCTATTCAAACATCCAAAGAAAGAAAAAATTGTGTCAATTTGTGAACTTAAATTGACAGCACTATTTTAAAGTCTAAATTTGTCTTTGGAGCATAAGTTTGTTGATTTCTTTTGTACACCATGACAAATTTAGCACTGCACTCTAACTTTGCCAGCCTTACAATGGACAGTTAAGGGAGGCTTCAAAATCAGTGCTTTTCTCCTTGTCAGGTTGGTTAGAGATTCAGGTGTGTTTTGCTAGTAGCAGCTAATGCCTGGAGTCTGCAGCAGAGATGAGCAGTGGGCTGCAGAGGTCTGTTTAGCTCACTTCTTTCAAACTCCACACCTCCAGATTTGGACATCATCAAACATCTTCAAACTTATAGTCTTTTAGACCCAACTGATGGTGACTCAAGTGACATCACTTAAGAACATGCATCAGGCTTCACAGAGATCTCTGGATACACTACAGCAGGGGTGGACAAACTACAACTACGCCCGCTGCTTGTTTTTAAAATCCTGCTGCGAATTTTTGAAAATAAACTAGAATATGGCTGGAGCATATTTCTAGTAAGTTGCACAGTGTGTACATTGCACAGCCTAGTTTAAACACAGTGTTGCTGTCATCTTAAAAAACTAGGCTACTGCCAAGTGCCAATCTCTGGGGCTACAAAATGAGGTCAACTCGTAAGTCCCAAAACTGCAGTTCTTTGAATATCCACTAGAGGCTGGCTCGAGAAGTGGGTCAATCCCCCTAGACCACCATATTAAAATGCTCAACTTTACAGCAGAAATAAACATTTTAACAGCCTAGTACAGAAAACAGTTTTGATCTCTATAGGCAATTTCCTCCTTCATCACAACTGTAACAGGGTCATTTTTTTTAATAACTCACCCATTAACATTTTAGTAAGGCTAAAAGATATGCATAATTAAGCGTGGGTCACTTTAGCAGGCTGTCTGCCGATGGCATCCTCAACCTCTTAGTCAGATCCACCCCTCGCTCCTCCACGGCACCAGCCTCTCGTCCAAATATGGTCATTTCTGGCTCAAAAAAACCAAGATGGCCACGGCCATAATGCCAAACTCAAAGCTTCAGAACGGGAGTCCACAAACCAATGGGTGACATCACTTTAGCTATAGCTATTATTTTTATAGTCTCTGGCCACTAGTAGCGAGCCCTGCAATTGCACTTCTTAATTGGAACACAAGATGTCGCTACTTCACCTACAATGATAGATTACTAATGGACAAAATCATTTAACTCAGTAAACATGGTGGTGGACCTAAAAAAACGGAAGATATAGAAATACTTTTGGTAATATGCCAACACACCAATAAACTACTGTAATGTCTAGAAACTGTAATGTCCATGGTCTAGAAACAATTTTCTTGCTGTGTAATTGGTTGAAAACAATGCATTTAGGCCTACTATTGTTGGGCCAGTACTCCTCATATTTTTCTCTATAAGGCCCACAATCAAAAATGTTTGTCTGCTCCCCTGCACTAAACACTTCATACTGCTTTTTTTATTTTTTTTTTTTTTTTACTACACACAAACAGCAGGCCTTGTATGCTACAAGACCCAGAAACAGTCTTTGAAGTGTAAAATCAGTGAAACTCCCCTTTTACTCTAAATCACTATCCGAGCATTGTAGGAACTGATGGTGGTGTAGTTTCAGTGGGTGACCACAAGGTGTCAGTGTTAGCTTTTGCAGTTGATGAGCGGATTTGCTGATGAGAGAGAAGGAGGCAACATATAGATTTGTATGTGTCGTGAACATAAAGGAAAGATCATATGTCACTGGTCTTATCATTCAAATCAAGCTGCACATGAAACTTAAACTGATCCTCCAGGACTGAAATTTAGGGCAACACTCGAAGAGGTGTATCCTGAAAATGTACACACACACACACACACACACACACACACACAATTTATCACCATAGAGCAAAGGAATAAAGTGAAAAATAGCAGCTGGCTTTGTCTCCATCTGGGGGGACTCCTCCAGTCTTTAGCCGCCTGGAGTTCAGCCCAGCGAGTGAATAAGTGAGCTTCAGATCACAGGCCATTGGCTGGCTGCTCATTACTGAATGATGCATTAAATCCTCGGCTGTAAATAATGTGATAACTGCTGTTCCGGGCTCTGCGTTACCCATAGGAACTGGCAGCCATCTTTCCTGCTCCATTTCTCTCTTTATCACTCACCCTCTCTATCCTTTCACAATGAGTAGAGTTCAGTTTTGCACATGCTATGTAATTATTCCACTCCAGTTGCTCCAGGGAGAGAGAGAGAGAGTGAGAGGGCTCATTCCTCAAAAGCAAAGCCCCACAATCTACTCCCTCCCCCATCCTCCCCTCGTCTCCATCCAGCCTCCACCACTCAGCTCAGGGTGCTCCACTGCAGGAGGCAGAGGGGATGCTACAGCATCATTTCCAAGGCTTCACAGAAAAGCACAATCAGCAGCTTTACAGGATAGAAAACCAAGGCAGGAAATAAGGGTCAACTCCACAGATACACGTGAGGAGGGACAGTAAACACTGGGGAGGTATAATGCAGGTATGTCTGCACACTGACGATTGTGATGTTGAAACGCCTGCTTTTAACATGCTGCTGAAAAGAGGCATCTGGACCATCTTTTACTGTGAGGGTCTTTCCTGTTAGACAGTGTTAGTTTTGCTCAGTGTGCCGAGCAAAGCAGCATCAATGAAACAGGCTGCATTAGTGAACCTTTTCCTTGATTTCTGGTGGAAAATGCAAATCTGTCTGTTGCACAGGATGGGACTTGTCAAATGCAATCGAATTCACAACAGCAAGTAGAAGAGCTTCTACACACTAAGGTCTCTACTTGTACTCTTTGACTGATTACATAAGAGCTTTCAGCCACAGACTTTCTTCACACATGGAGCAGAATCAGACTGGAGGAACAATTAGCTCCAGTAATTAGCTACAGCGCAGCACATCTGTGTATCCCTGACACAAGACCTTACACTCAAGGATGTTGTAATCTGATGAGATGTATGGACTACAAAACTGAAACATAAAGGGCAGATGAAAGAAAAAAAAAGAAAATAATTTTTAAATTGACAGAACAATAAACAGTGGTTCAGTTGAAACAACAACAACAACAACAACAACAATAACAAAAAGAAACACTAGGCATAAATGTTGGCATTGTACATCTCTGCAAACCACGGTTAGCTTATGATACCCAGTCATGGGGCATTATCATGCATGGAACATAGCAATATCCTGGTAAAAAAACAATGCTTTTTGTCGCACTATAAATGCGGCAATGTCTTGGTAAAAAGAAACGCTGTTCATTGCACTGTCCCTGGTGGAAAAAAAATGCTTGTAATGGGGAATAAAATGCATTTGGTGGCTCAAACCTGGAAACTGGATCGTGTTTTGGCTTAAAAAAACTGGTTTTGGGGCAAAATCTCACCTGGAAACGCAGCAATTTTTTTGCCATGGTAAACTACGATCACTTTTCACAACAGTATCCTAGTAAGTACAGCAATGTCTCAGTAAAAAAACAACTGCTTTTACTGGCACTACCCTGGCAGGAAATGCAGCGATCTTTAGGTATAAAACAACTGCTTTTTGTGGCACTATCCCAGGAAAAAAAACAGCAGGGGGTTACTGAAAAAAAACATTTTGTGGCTTAAATGCAGCTGAACCTGTGACAGGTCACTAAAACACAATTGATTTTGTTGTTTGTTGGTTTCGGAATGTGGTCTTAGCTTAGCAGATGCCTCAGCTAGGTTTTACTGCATCCACCATCCTCTCCACCTCCATCATATATTACAATGCTTTATAAATGTTGGTATGATTTGTATTTAACGTGCAAATGTAACATTTTTGTAGTTTGCAGAAATGTACAACGCCAATACTTTCTCCTGGCCACTGGGCTGCATATGTTTATAAGGCAGCAAAATAAAAAAAATAAAAAAAGGAGAGAGAGAGAAATGAGGTCATATGAGGACAAGACTGAAAAATGGTTTGAATATAATATTATAATTGCTTCTAAAATTTTCAGCTTTGAACTTGTAGTCAGGCTTCTAGTTCCTTACTAGTTCCTTTCATCCTTCAAGGATTAAAGTTCATCTAATGAATAGGTAATACTTCATAAAATGTCTTGGTGTTAAAGTGCATTTTTCATGAATGAATGTGTATTTTTGGCCTGAAGAACAGTTTCAGCCTTTAGGCTTCATGAGATTTTCTGAACATTTTGTTAAGAAACAATGATTTAAACTTGATTTTCCCAGTATATTTTAGAATCAGACATTTTCCTCTGCTTGGATGTGTATTATGAGGCTTAATCACTATAATAATCTCAAATAGGAATTTGTTGTAAACTTCTCGTTTGTGCCAATGTTGCTGTGCAACTGAGCCATCATTTGGATACCCCTTTTAATTTTTTCTTATGTGCTTTCCCTGGTTCCTCAAATGCAATTAGATCCTCATGTTAATCCAATCCCCAGCACTGATTGTCCGCTTGTTTGTTTGGCCATCTGCCTGCTGACCTGCCTGCCTGCCTGGATTTCCACTGACATGATGGCAGCTAACACACGTATAGTACAGCAGATCTGATGCACCTCACTGTAAACACGGTATACAAACAGGAGGTGACATACAAACACAGGAATAAGACATCAGTGGGGACAGAGTGTGCAGGAGCAAACTAAATGCTGTCAGAGAAGAGGCGCGCTCCTCCTCTAAG